TATTTTTGTCAACTGATTTTTATTTGTAATTTGGATTTAGTAAGCACGTTTGTCAGATTAGGTTAATAATATTTTGGGGATTATTTGAATTTTGATGTTTGGATATTTGTGTCTCTCTCCCAAACATCAGCAGTCTTTATCATGGTTTTGTCTGGCAACGTGGTGGCTGCCCYACCTTCACGGACTACCGTTATTGATGGGAAGGGWCGAGGAGTGGACCCAGCAGGGTCACCGAGTCATCAAGTTTCASATATTGCCGAACATAGTCGATCACCGTCACCTTGACCTCCGAATCCGCCATATTCTGCTRTGTGGTAGATCTGCCCGCTACTTRACCATCCGTTTGGGTTGGAATATTGCCAGGGACGGTCTGGATGAGATCACGTGGYGGCGACTTCAGAGACTTGCTGGTGTTTGGGGCGAGTATTGCTATTGGCTGTGTATTATCAATTTGTATTTTTTGAGACTTGCTCCTTAATGCCTAATTTGATTTTTATTGAAAATTTAAACAGCTTTGACTTTCTGCTAAGACCTGTAACCTGGAAAGACGATCCTTTCAAAGAAATATAAAATAGCCTGAATTAATTAGCCAAGATAATTACGTTTCCTGTGTTCCCAGGGTTTATAACTCTAAGGACTGTTGAAAGTTCCTTGCGAGTTTGGCCAACCATAACCCAAGTGTTAAATATAAGTGTTAAATATTCTCTTATAGTTTTATGCCATAACAGATGTCTTAATTGGAGAAAAATTTAATGACAGATGTTTTCGGACCAAGCTATATCAGAGGAACGGCTAGAAATTCAAATCCACATTTGGTAGGGCCGAAAGATCAAACTAACTCCCCGTATGACGTTAGGGGCCGATTTCGTAGCATACTGGTTCATGTTCCTACTAACTTTTTGGTTCTGCTTCATGGAAATTTTAAGCTTCTGACGACTGGCTTTAGTATTCTTTAAACCTCATTCACTTAATTCGCTGCAAGTAATTTAAAAATATTAACGGAAAACGTAGTTTCAAATATGTTGCTTGGCTTGTCGAGGATGCAGCAAAAAGCGGTCCAGTTAAAACAAAAGCCGTCTCCGTAAACTCACTCGATCCCATTCGAAAGCGGTCACCAAGAACGCACAGTTGTAAATATTGGAAATCTAGTTTCCTTCCGGCCGGTCAGCCAAAGTTACCTAAGGTCTCAATCGAGCTCGACTACTCTCACAATTCTCGGTGAGTGTACGGCCATACTTCCCCGCCCAATCACTCATGCTTAGAAAATAAAGTCGTCTCGTCTTTAGCAGTGCTGGTTAGGGACCTTCAGAATCGCCTAAACTTTATTATTCCTGCAGCTGCTTCCAACTGGGCCCACGCAACACTCGTCTCTCAGCAAACGCATTTGTTCTTTGAAACCCGGAAATTCCCTTCCCTTTCTACTGGTCTTGCAAGCCGAATAATTTGGCTTAGCGAGACCACTACATGTTAGTCCTACGAGCGGGATCACTACATATTTAGACCCTCGATCCGGATCAATACAAGTACAAATCTGGTGTTGCCATATTTCAGAAAAGCAAAAAGATAAATGTCTGCTTTTTTATTACTGCCAGGTTGCATGAAAGCATGAAAAATTAGTAGGCGAAGGAGGCCAAAAAGCAAATTTAAATGGGTTTGTCAGCCCTTACATATATAAAACAAAAGAAAGTCATTCGGTCATAATTTAAGGCTGACTCAGTATCTTCGAAACCAATCACAGATGCTTGTGAGACAAATAGATTTTACAAGAAGAAAATGTATTGCCATTTTATTAATTCCTTTCATTAAAACAACGCAACCGGCATCTGTTATAGTCTATTTTCAGTAAAATCAAAAAAAAATATATTGAACGCGCTGCACCGCTGGCGAACGTACAAACCACTAGTCTTCACTAAACACAGCGTCTTCTGTTCTTATTGCCCAACATATAAAAACTGTGGCGCGCTGTGTCGCGGTAGAGATACGGTAAGCCGTATCGGTGTCGCGGTGTGAACACCTAAAAATTCATTGTGTTACCCAGGCGAAATTGAAGTAGTTAATAATGGAACAAGAAACGAAAGTCGAAGTTCCGCCACTGCTTGAAGTTGACGCTCGAGGCAAATCCGCATAAAGTAATACGGGCACAAACCGGATCTAACAACTGAAATACATTTATATTTTTTACGTACATTTTTTATAAGCTACYTTGATAAAAACAATTATTTAAGACGAAACCAGTGTCCTAAGAAGAGATATATCTTGGCTTAGRACGACGGGCACCACCATACAATTGTGAATGAACACGGCAGAGATGTCTATAATATTCCAACKGTGAAGTTCGTAAAACCGCCACCCCCCTTTGCTGATTAACGATAATATTKGAGGCGTTGAGTACAAAAGTGGCCCAAGCCACATTTTTTTAAATATTGAGTTTAYGRCAAAWATGGYTSACAAATAAGTCAAATTTCATCATGCARAACCGGYCCAAGCTTCGTTTGCTGATTGCACCACAATATGTCAGCCAAACTCACTTTTGCATTTGTAGCCGGTTCCCATYTTCTAGGCAAGACYAGCCCAAAACACGTGTGGGCCGTTTTTGCATTTAGKGWCSACGCATTTGTCGCGTGCTTGTAGTTCTTTTCAGTCACATTATTCGTTGCAAAAAAACAAATGTCAAGTATTTTTGTCCAGAACTAGACATAACCAAGATGTACAATTTGTACAAAGGTGAGACTCAACATCCAGCGTCAATGTTCAATTTTTTGTCAAATATTTAAAAACGATTTTAATTTAAAGTTCTATGCACCAGTATCCGACAGTTGTCGCAAATGTGATGCATTTAATATCAAAATTAAGGCAGTTATGGCAGATGGCCAAGAATGTGAAAAAATTTGAGTGGACCAAGAGCTGCATCGGAGAAAAGCTGATGCTGCTAGACCAGGCATGAGGAACGATGCCGAAGCTKCAAAATCAGATAATGATCTCACAGTAAYCTCTTTTGACTTAATAAAAACTTTGGCCACGCCGATTATTTCAACAGGAGTTACGTACTACAAAAGGCAACTCTGGACATTTTGTTTCGKAATTCATTATCTTCAAAGTACTAGTAGACACAGTAGACATAGACCTAGTACACATGTACACATGTGGGATGAAAGCGTTGCATCCCGGGGTCCCCAGGAAATTCGTTCCTGTATTAGTCACTATATTAATAACTTTGTTACCAAAAGAAAGTTAATAATCTATAGCGATCAGTGTGGTGGTCAAAATAGAAATTTTAAAATGGCAGCCCTTTGCACTTACATTAAATTATCCAGCGACTACAAAATTGAAACTATTGACCATACATTTTTAGTGTCTGGTAATTCTAACCTTCCGAATGATCAAGAGTTCGGTCTGACTGGAAAACATTAAAAACACTATACAGGGTGATTCAAAATTGGCGTCATTCCTTTTAAGGGGTGATAGAGGCTACCTT